TTGGTGGTGCCCAAGTACGGGCCATCAGGGGTTAACCATGGGGACAGCACGGACCTTGGGGAAGCATCCTTCCCTGGTCTCCATGCTCGCACTATGCAGCCCTTTCCCCCTACAGGACATCCTTACAGCCCCACCAAATTCTCCTGGCTAAGGGCAGAGTTACCTGGATGTAGGGCAAAGTCTTATCCCTCAGAGAGGACCATGTGCCTGGCCCACAGCTGCAGACCAGGTCTCCCAGAGTCCTTGAAGCTGGCAGTGTAGTGCCAGGTGAGCTGGGATCATACCTGCTGGGAGCAGGTGGGAATGTTGCCTTGGGTCTAGTACCACACCCTGAGCAATACAGTTTAGGCAGGTAGAAAGTTGGTCAGGGATAACCATGCATCCTAGGACGGTGGAAGACTGCAAATTGGTTGCTTCATCTCTGTGGAGCAGACTAACCAATACTCAAGCTTGAGCTAGGAAGAACAGCTCAAAAAAAAAAAAAAAAAAGTAATAATAATAATAATAATAATAATAATAATAATAATAATAATAATGCTAGCACGAAAATGACAAATTTAAAGCAGCTTAGCAGGTACTTAGTATAATTTAGCACCTTTTAATGCATGGACCACCCCATTAAATGCCTTCAGAGTGCTTTAAGAGGTGACTTGTAAACACTACCACAGCATAAAAAGTCAGTACATGTAAGTTTTTTTCCAGCTCTGTTGCCAATGTATTCCTTTATTCAGCAGATGTAAAGAAGTGCTGAATCAGAACCTCAGACAATGAGCAGGTTACTCGTATTCAATAGGCTTCTAAAAATAAAATAAAAAAAATCAGCCAAATCAATAAATCAGACTACATGTGGATTTAGATGCACACGTTGCCCCCCCCCAATCAGACATTTGCAAATTCTAACACCTAGATACCCCTGAGTGTGAATACTCTTCTAGAGTCAAGTAAAAGCACACTTGTATAATGAACTGGAAAACCAAGGCTGAACACAACCAGTTTATACATGAAGAAAGTGAGGACAATTCTTATACCTCACTAGTCTGTAGAGTTTCAGGGTTTATGCCAAACTTGGATCTTCTGATGAAAACTACTTGAGAAGTATGAAAAAGAAATACTATTTAAAAGTTACTTACCAAAGACTCGCTTGCACACTGGAACACATAGCAGACATACTGGCTTAGCCCAGGTTCAATAGATTCGCGACAAATAAAGCCAAAATGATCAACATGTTTTATACCCTGAAAAGTTTGAGACAAAAAATTAATGAATATTTGGTTAAAAACAAAGACTTAAAAAGAGACCATGGTCACTGACTGAATTTCAGTACTTGCTAATAGTGATATGCAAGTTACCAACTTTTCCTCTTATTCTTTCAATGAGCAAAAGGTAGTTACCAAAACAAACAAACAAACAAAAACCAAACCAAACCAAACCAAACCAAACCAAACCAACAAGTATAACTTCTTTCTCCTGGTCGACAAATCATAGGAGTCTTTACATCACCAAAAGATCAAGCAACTCAGCAGTGAATCAGGCCTGCATTTCCTTTCCTTTTGACAAACTATAGCAGCAAATCAACTAGGGCACCATGAGATTCTTCCAAGGGTACCAGAGTGCCCATCCTTTTGGTGGGGAGGTGAGTACTTGCTCCTCCTCTCACCAATTGCTTCAACACCCCACAGACAAGCAGCACCCATAGCTTCTCCATACGCCCCAGCAGATGTGTGGCTACAGAGCCACACGTCAGCCTGGCTCTCCCTCCCCCTGCACCTCTACCATGATCCCTGGGAAGAGCTGCTGTTGCACATGGCTCTAGTTTCCAGCAGGCATGACAGTAGGGGGTCATGTCTGCCCTCCGGTACAAGCCAGGCGCAGGGAGGGAACAGAGTACAGAAAAAAAAAAAAATCAGGTGTAGTTGGGTGAGGTCTGTCCTCCACCAGCCTCACCTGGCACCAGCTAGATTCTAGCTCAGTGGCTCTAAGCCAAGGTGCCTCAATTCCAAAGAGATAAAAACACCACGTACTTATGGAAGGTGCCTTGAGGCTAAAAAGGTTTAGCTTTGTTTTTGAAAAGCAGAATGAAAAGGATTTTTTTCAACATTATGACTGCACAGAACAAGGACAGAGCCCAATATTCTGCGAGTCTTTTGTCAATATTTGTATAGTCTAAACATAACTGTAGGGAAGTGCCTGAACAAAGAAAGTGTTCAGTTACAGTAGGAGTTACAACTATGAAGTTTGGATGCAGCTCTGTAAATACCCGTGTTATGATCTGGGATCCTGGGGGGGGGATTTTTGTTTGATTTTTTTAATTGGAAAAACCCCATGCAAATTCTGATTAAAACCTAAAATCCGTGTTTTTCAATGACTAAAATGAAATACCACTATATATACAGGTATCGGTTGAATGCAATGTTTTATTGATATATTTACAATTTAAAAGTAATTTGGAAGCCTACCAGTGCCTCAGTCACTATAATGAAATAGATTCTAAATATCTATACATTTTGGCATTTGATTTTGGGGTTCCCCCCCCTCCATGGAAAAGGAAGTGCTCCCCCTGCCCCCTGATCTCACCAGGACACAGGTCCAGCTATGGCTGCCCCCTCTCTTCCCCCACCCCCACTGCTTTGTGGCACTGAGCAGCCCTGATATGCTGGTGCCCTGCCCATGCCACTGCCCCTCACTCCCCATCCACAGCCCCCTGGGCCCTGCCACTCACTTGTCACCCACAGTCTCCCAGCCCTTTTGGAGCGGGGTCCCCAGCTGCCAGGGCTATGGGGTCAGGGACCCGGGTCTGCAGCCCCCTGCCCCTCGCAGCAGCAGTCGAGCCTCAGCTGTCACCAGGAGCAGCAGCTGCTGTGGCAGAGTGGGAAGTCCAGCTCCTCCTCTCCCACAAGCTCCAGAGCAGATGCTGGCTGCCCACTGAGGGCTTGGGCTCCCCACCCTGCTGCTCCCCCTCACGGGGGGGGGGGGGGGGGGCG